CTGTGTCTGCTCCATGGGTTAAAGATGGTTCAAATCAAAATGAGGAGAAGTTGATGTGTGCACACACGACATTTGAGTCAAGTTGAGTCTCAGGAACGAAGCTGGCTCAAATCAAAAAGGGCTGGTTGGAAAAGAACTTGAACTGGGCCCTGAATCTGTACTTAACCAATAGAAGGAAAGTCAGCTTCAGCAGGAGAAATGAAAAACAGACCAAGTCCGGTGAGGAACAAGGAGATAGCAACAATATACTGATAATGGTAACAGTAATAGTAAGCATGTTTAAGGACCGTGTGTCAATCACTGTTGTTAAGTTCATCCCATGCATTTGATTCTTGCAGGAAGTCATCGAAGCAACTATTTCTGTGATTCCTCACTACACAGATGAGAGGACTGACTTACAGATAGGTCTGATAATTTGCCAAAGGCCATATACTAAGTGACAGGGAAAAGTTTTATTTTTAAATAGTATTTGTTGGATGAGTGGGTATTTTATGTTTTTTTCCCCATTTCTCTCTCACTCCCTGTGTTTCTGTCTCTCTTTTTCTCTATGTGCATTCTACCCATTTTTCTATGTGTATGTGTGTGTATAAGCGTGTTTGCATGTGTGGGGGAAAATATATGTGTGAGTGTATGTCATGGGAAAATACATATGTGAGTATATGTGATGGCGGCCCTTGTGCATATCCAATGAGGCAGTGTCTTTCAATCACAGCCAGGGATGGCAGATACGACTGATTTCACGTACCCAGTTTGCCCTAGGGATCCCCATCAGTTTCTTCCAGGGCTGGAATCTCAGAAAGGCTGCCACACCCACTCAGCATTTACATAGGAGCCAGGAATCCGAACTCCAGTCCTCATGTTTATGCCGCAAGCAGTTTAACCACTGAGCTGTCTCCCCAGCCTGTGACTAAGTATTTTCATCCGGTATTTATATTTGAAAAAAATGAGGTGATGGAGGTTTAGAGATCTGACCCAGCTTGCTCAGCTGATTGACAGCAGTGGCTGAATTAGAGTCATTTGGATATACCTTCCTCTATGCTAGGCATGCAGCATGGAACTCTCACTCTGCCGTTTCCTTTTAGTTAAAACTTAGGTAGGGGAAGTGTGCTACCTTGATATGTAAACCCAGAGCTGACCCCTCGCCAAGATACAGTTCCTGAAGGCATGAGGACGGGTTACAAGAGGGGAAGCAAAGTAGACAGAAGTGAAGCAGATTCGGGCAGATTTAATCTACAAAATGTTTTCATCTGGAAAATGATGCAATTGGATGAAATCTCCAAGTATTCTTTTATCTTGGCTATTCTTATGATCTCAGGCAAAGCTCAAAACAGAAATTGGGTCTCTGTATGTCTCTGCATTGGGTGGACCCAAACACAGCTGGCCATGAATAATCATGGAGCAATAACCCTACATCTAGAGGCCAGGAAGCAGCTGTTAGATAAATGGAAAAGGTAGCATTCTGTGAGTCCTGATTCTTCACTTAACTGCTTCAGATGCTGCTGAGAAAGTTGCCTGATGCATTTATGGAAACCTCCAGGACCTAATCAATTTCTTCCTTCTAAAAGAAAGGCCTTAGCAGGAGAGAGCATCATTTTCCGAGATGCTGTCAAGTGAGGAAAAGACAGAGCGATCTATGGCGACAGCCACCTGGACTCTTCTGGTTTGTTGCTGGTTGTTTTGCCTTGGACACGCACATCCTGTCTGACCTCAGAGTCGAAGGCCCTCCTTGAGTTAACAGGAGAGGCAGGTTCGCATCCTCTCCCTCTGTCAGGCTGCATTTTTCAAGTCTGAGGAAAATGTAAAATGTGGAAGTGGAGGGTTTGCAATTCATTGTGACTGAAGCCACTGTATCCATCTCATGCAATATTTAGCTGCTGTGTCTGTTTGGAAGCCTGAGAATAGCAACGCTCCTCAAAATCAGGCTCCATCTATGGTAGAACAAAGCAGATGGGGACGTTTTTTCCACATAGCAACAATGATTGTACTTTGGGTTTATGTAGCATCTGTCCTTGGAGAACCTCTGAGAGATGTTGAGAGTCCTTTTTTAGTCCTCACTCTAAGTGGTTTATGAGGGGCCTGTGAGATGGCTCAGTGGGTTAATATGCCTGTCATGTGAGCCTGACAACCTGAGCTCAGTCTTCAGAACTCATATAAAAAGGTAACTAGATGCATTGGCACACATCTGTTACCCCAGAACCCTAACAGTGAGATGGGAGGCGAAGAGTAGAATTGACAGAAGCTCACAGGCCTGCTAGCCTTGTGTATGAAACCGTGGAAACAATAAGAGAGAACCTGTCTCAACAAGTCTGAAGGAGAGGACCGACTCCTGAATGTTGTCCTGTGACCTCTACATGTATCCCATAGCACCCATGTGCCTATACTCACATATCATACACACCACACACACCATACACAGACCCACAATTACACACACACACACACACACACACACATTCTTACCTTTTTCTTATTACTGTCTGTAGAAGACATCTAGAATCAATGCCGTTCTCAGCCATAGAATTTTCCACTGATGAAAACCAAGGTTTAGGGAAGGAAAGGTTGATTCCAAAGCTGAAAGCCACCAAAAGAGTTTAAGATGGGCCCCCCAAACGTTTGGCAGCATAAAGTAGGAACATGCAGAAAGAACACAGGGATAAGTCAACAGGGTTCTCAGCTTGAGGAGGTTCCTGCTTGACCAAATATAAAAGGGGTTAAACATCAAATAAATGATTCTAGCAAATTGCTATCTGTTTTCTAAAACAGAGATCTTTGTATCTACATTGAAGAAAGAAAGAGGAAGGAGAAAAGGGAAGAGCAGAGAGGGATGAGCCAAGGAGAGGAAGAAAGAGAGAGGAGAAGGTGAGGGAGAGAGAACCCTTCATTTTGGTGAAATGTAGGTGCCTGTTGAAGATAGAATCCGTTCACAACCATCATGGTGGTGGTGGCTTCCAATGAGGATTATCATAGTCACCAGGAGAGGTGACTAGTGGCTTGTTGAAGTATATTATATCGGTTACCTTGGACATTGTGTACAATACATCTATTAGACACAAAGAGAAAAGGTAATGATTTCTACAGTGGAGAAATGTTGCCCAAAACAATTTGACAAGAGGCTGGAGGTTTGGCACCACTACAGGTCCAAGATGGTGACGTTTGGTGACTCACTCCAGATTGCTTTGAGAGAAATGGAATGTTTACTTTGGTGTTGTATCTGGCAAGAGCACATTGCTCGGGTTTGGTCACAAGGAGATAAGAAATGAATACAGGCTGGGAGATATTAGGTTTGACTATAAAGTGTCCTTCACAGATTCATGTTTTGAATGCAAGGTCCTCAGCTGGTAATACCATTCTGAGAATTCATGGAACCATTAGAAAGTGGGGCTTAGCGGCTGGAAGTTGTTGACTAGGGGAGGGTCCTTGGCTATATGTTATCCTTGCTCACTTCCTGTCTCTCTCTCTCTCTGCTTCTTGGTCCACTGTGTTGTGAAGAGCTTCTGCCACTTACCCAGCACCATGAGCGGAGCTGTTCTGTCACGCCTTCCCTACTATGATGGGCTGAAACCAAAAAGCCAAAGTAAGTCTTTTTTCATTTAGGTTGCTTCTCACAGCTGTGGTCCCAGCAATGATAAAGTCAAGAGTACAGAGAAAAACCTGCAACCTGCCACCATCAAGGTCAAGAAAGACTCAGAAAGGTTGAGGAACCCAAGAGACATGAGGGCTATGTACAGTGTATGATGCCCAATTCAATCCATGCCAGAAAGAAAAATGATGTTGATAAGAAAGCAATAATTAAATTGCTTGTGCATCAAAAGAAGGTCACGTAGTGTCTTAGTTAAGGTTTCTACTGCTGTGAAGAGACACCATGACCACTGCAACTCTTATAAAGGAAAAATATTTAATTGGGGTGGTTTTCATTTTTCAGAGGTTTAGTCCATTATCATTGTGGCTGGACATGGACTTGGTGTTGGAGTGGAGCAGAGTGAATGCTACATCTTACATCAACGGTAGGTTGTCTGTCTCACTGGGCATGTCTTGAGCATATATGAGACCTCAAAGTCTGCCTCCACAATGACACACTTCCCCCAACAAGACCACACCTCCTAATAATGTCACTCCCTTTGGCGGTCATTTTCTTTGAAACCACCACATATAGTGATATGAATCACCTAAGTTAGATGGGTACACTCGATTTTCTAAAAATATTTACTTTATTTTTTTATTTGTGTATATTTGTGTTGCATGCATGCACGTGTGTGTGTGTGTGTGTGTGTGTGTGTGTGTGTGTGTGTGTGTGTGTACATGCAGACATGTATGAAGGTGCCTACAGAGGTCAGGAGAGGGTGTTAATTCCCCCTGGTGCTAGAGTTATATGCGACTGAATTCAGGTCCTCTGGAAGATTAGCAAGCACTTTTAATTGCTGAGACATCTCCAGTAGTGGTGCCCTGTGTTTATATTACACCAGGTGTGAGCCTGCTTTGAGAGTACAGTGCTTGAGAGAAACTCAGAAAAGAATGAGAATAATTTATGTGTGTGTGTGTATGTGTGTGTGTGTGTGTGTGTGTGTGTTTGTGTGTGTGTGTGTATCTTGGAGAGGAAGACACCAAAACAGTCAGAGGTTGACATTTGAAAATCTGCATAACGAGGACATGAGGGCTCTTTGCTTTGCTCTTGTAACATGTCCACAAGTTCAATATTATAAAATCCAGGATTAGTTTTTATAAAGTCAAAGGGCCAGATGCTGCAGCCTGAAGCCTTTCCTCTCTCCCCAGCTCCTTATGCCCGGACAGTAGTTACTGGAGCTGTCTTTCCACACTAGCTCCTTATTTAACACATCTTGTAATGGGCATGTAAAGACAGATAATAAGAAAGGTAGAAATAACATATGATGCATAAAAGTGAAAGAGACTTCATCTTATTGTTGCCTAGTAGAAAGTTCCATTGGGAAGAGGCATGTGAGATGGAACTTTCAAAACTGGGTAAAATATGGCCAGGTTGTTGTTTAGTTTCACAGTCTAAATTAGTTTCACTGAAGCTCCAATGATACAGAAGATCAGCAGGGCCCCTGAGCAAGGATGGCATGTAGATTTGTGAAGTAGTGCCTTGAAAAGATGTGGTCAGAGAGAAGCAGAAAAAAGGTAAAGGGAAAGAGGAGACAGAAGAGTGGTGTGAAGAAATAACCAGGAAGAGGTTGACAGTGCTGTTTCAATCACAAGTGAGAGAAATCTGTTCAAATTGTTACAAGAACCACAAAGGACCCTGGCTAGTTTACGTAAGGGCCAAGGACAGATATAGCACATCTTGGCCAGGTATCTCATAGTGTGCCACCAGGACAGGAATCCTTTTCTTTCTTCATGTCTTTGTGTCTCTTTGTATTGGCTTCACTCTCAAGACAATCTTTCCCGGTGATAAGTTACAGTCGATAGATCCTTAGGTCCTTAGAACCTGGTGGGAAAAAGACTTTTTCATTCTCAGTAGTTCCAAGAAAGCATCAGAACAAATGTTGCTTTTTTGGTCCTGCTTTAGACTCCAAGAGACTATGTGCCCACTACCATAGCTCATCATATGTTCTTTCCTGGGACTGACTACGGGGAGGATAGGCTTGGGGCGGGGGGTTAGCCCTTTCTACAAGTAGAAAGATGGGGCAAGAGGAGCAATTTCAGAAAGGAAAAATCTAGCAATGCTTCCAGGAGAGTACACAGGCATGGGTCGGTCCACCAGTGGATGTTTAAGGGTTACCAAACCCTAAAATGAGCATTGTAAAGAAGAAGTACGGGAGTTCAAGTGGGAAGTCAACTTGCTGTCATTGCCTTGAAGGCACTGAATGCGAGACCAAGAAAACGGTTAATGTTCACTGAGTTAGAAAGAAGGTTGATACCTCTGTCTACAAAAGGCAGATACTATTTCAGTCTACACAAGCCATGTGTCTCTTTCAAAACTACTCAACTCTGCTGTCATGATTGACGCAGGCAATAAAACATGTGATGCATTTGCCGTGAGAGCTGCTGTTTGCTAACCTTAGGCTAGAGGAAGCTATCGGAGACACCAAGGTTGCAAATGATATCACTAGATAATTCCTTGGGAAGACACACCCCTCTGCCAAGTAGAGAATGATAGAAGAGAGTGGACTAAAAAAAGTGTGTGTGTGTGTGGGGGGGAACTGGGAGAGGCTGCAGCAATGGCCAACCCCCGTGTTTGCGGTGTGAGGAACCTACACACGTTTGTAACCGAATGTACCTGGAGTTGGTAGCTGGCACAAAGCTGATCTGCCTATCTTTAGCTGACCCAGATTCCTATCACCCTTCGAGTTCACTCATCTCTGACATCCTCCCACTCTTGAAGTCTCGGTTGGAGTTAGTAAATCATCTTGGGAGGCTGATTATTCCTTTTCTTTGCTCTACAATGTTTTTGATTTTGAGAACTAACTCTGTACTATTTGTATGAGCAGGAAAAATCAATAGAAAGAAAAAAGCTTAATAAAAATACATTCTTCATTGACTTTAATTAACTTGGTCTTAGGGTTTACAACTTTGAAAAGTATGGAAAATGAAAAAGAAAAAAATACACACCTCACATCTCATCCTATACACAAAACTTTGTCTTAATAAAATCACAAATTAAAATCCAAATGGATCAGTGATTTATTTGAGTGCAACAAGTTGAAGAAGAAACGACATACAGGAAAGAAAAGAAATTCTCTTTTCAAAGTCAAAGAACAGACTAGCATTGCTAACTCCCAGGGTATGCGAGTGAGGGCTGGATCCAGGCCAATGGTCTACCTCTATCCAAGAACTCTTGTATATTCTCCAGCCTCAGATGCTCATGACTTAGCATTTTCTTGTCTCATGAGCCCCAACCATCTTAAAAACTTGTATGGTTTGCTTATAACATCAACACCAATGCTTCCTGCATGAGATGGAGTTTACTACAGATGAGAGGTGACCAGGACAAACGATATGAATACGTGTCTCCTGTCAGGTGTCAGCAAAAAGCTCATTACAGATCTGTGAGACTTTTGGTCACCTGAAGTGATGCATAGATAGATATGCATGTCTATGAGATGTCAGCATGTATACTGGTATAATATGAAAATATACACACATGCATATGGAATGCCACATATGTAGTCTATAAAGTTCCACATTCATCCAGCTGCACAATAGATATTATGTGAACATGTACAGGTACACATGTGTAGAATAGATATAGAAACAATTAAATAAAATTGGTACATGGATGTTACCTATTTACATCCAGCAGACATTTACAGCATGTTTATGCAATAGTATACACGTGGGGCCAGCAAAAATGGTTTAGTGGGGTAAGGGTGCCGCCGCTGACTCTGACAACTTAAGTTAGTCCCAGGCCCACACGGTAGAAGGAGAGAACTGACACCCCCCCACCCCCGCAAGTTGGCTTCTGACCCCCACAAGCACACTGAGCTTCCCCCATAAGTAAATAAATAAATAGCCTTCTTTATTTTGAAAAACACCCTAGTAGATATAAAAATATCCAAAACACACATCTAGGACTAAACTTGCATTAAAAAAAAACACATCCAGGTGTGTGTTTGATGCATACATGCACAGCAGCTACATTTAGTGTCCACATATGTGGTATGTGATCTGCTCTCAGTCATCACTGACTCCATTCTCTGCTCTCCCAATGCTTCCTCCACCATCATTCTCTTCCAACTGATTCCCGGCTCTTCCACAGATGCCAGCTGCCTTCTCACCTCAGTGTTTCTGCTTCTCTGTACAGCAACATCTTCCCCAGCAGAGCTCGCACAAACCACTTCCTGACTTCCTTGTGCCTTGGCACAAATCTCCGCATGTCAATGAAATCTGCACAACCACTGCATCACTCCTAGAAATGTTCAACCCACCCACCCCCACCACCACTGTAGGACATGCTGCAGACCTTTCCTATCCCATCCTGGTGGTTATGCTGTCCAAGAAATTATGTTTTATTCCTATTGAATGTAGTATTCACATGTTTGCTCACTGGTATGTATAAAGCAAAACAAAACAAAACAAAACAAAAAAACCCTGATTCACAGAAGACATATAGTGTATATGTTTTAAATGGATAAATGAGTGAGTGCATGAGCATCAAACTATCCAATATTACATCTACTGAAAAAAATATATATGTATAGTTGTTGGATCACACAGTACATTAAGAGTGGTAGTATCTCTAACTACTCACAAATATCATGGTGAATCTATATATTTCTTTATTCAAAGCAATTGAGACATGTTGGCAAAGTGATGTGAGTGTTACAGGATAGGGGAATGTTCCAGAGACATTTCAGTTTTCTACTTACATAACCAAGAAACCAAGTTGAGAATTGAGTCTCCATTTTATACCTATTTAAAATTTCACTTCCTGTCCTCCTGCCCCCACAGCATATTCCTTAGTGGCTAGCAGAAATTAAATCGTCCTCTCTGTCCTTTTGAGTGCCCATGACTCTCTGCAGACATAAGTCTCCAATCCAAACCCCAGTTCAACCCTTTGCTCCTTGTTTGAAAAGACAATGTTAAAACATTGATGACTCTTACGGAGATCCTGTAATTTATTGTTCAAAATGAGGTACTGCCAAGAACAAAGGGGACATTATTACTAATTATGCCCCCTTTGTCTTTCTGCCCCCTTATCTTGTCTCTCTCTATTCACATTACTGCTTATTAGCTGCCTTGTGGTAGATTTACTTAGTAGAACCTTCCTTAAGGGTCCAATGGGGGGTTGGAGAGATGGATGAGCAGTTATAAGCACTGGCAGCTCTTTGAAAGGAACTTGGTTCAATTCCCAGCGTTCACATGGCATCTCCCAGTTGTCAGTAACTCGAGTTCCAGGTGATCCAGCACCCTCTCTGACTTTCATGGGCACAGGCACATATGTGGTATATATATGTTGTGTGTGTATATATATATATGTATATGTATATGGTGTATACATGTGTGATATATATGTATATATATAGGCACAACACTCATACACATAAATTAAATATACTTTAAAAAATTAAAATATAATATTGTCTGCTACCAAGAAACCTGTAAACGTAGTGAAGAAAGATGTTACTGTATTCTTTCAAGGCAGAGTCCTTGTGTACTTGCTATATGTCTACTGTCCTTTTAGACACTGGGGGAAATTATCAAAATAAATAACGTTTCCACCTCTATGGAGCTAAGAGTTGGACATAAATCACTTCATAGTTAGCAACTCTGACTAATTCTCTAAAAGAAGGGGGTATGGTAGCAGGCAACCACACAGCATCCTGTCCTAATGTTGGGTGGGGTGCCGCTGCTGAGGATTCCATGCTTGAGTGCTCAAGTTCATGGGGCACCAAACTGAGGAGCAATGGAAGGGTGAGGGGGTGACCTTTCACACTGAGGAAGAAGCTTGTGGAAAGGCCTCAAGATAGAAAGAAACCCAGCCTTTCCATGGAGCCAGAAGAGAGCAGATGCTCAGAGAACAGGTGCACAGTAGTGGGGGTGACCAGAAAGGGATTTGGAGGAGGCAGGCAGCAGACATCATGGATATTTTTTGTGTGAGGGGAAGACCCCCATCTTCCAGGAGATGGTATAGTCTGAGATAGCTCTGGAGGCCCTACGGCATGGATGAGACCAGCGAAGCAGCTGTCTGGAGAGTTTAGCAGGGACATTGGGTGGAGGCGGTAGACAAACATTCTGAGCTTTTTGCTCTGATAAGATGCAGGGTCCAGCTAGATGCGTTCCTGTGGTCACACACGAGAAAGGAAGTGGCAAGGAGAACTGTTTGAGATAGAAAAGGTCTGTGGTCACAATAGAAAGATGTGGTCTCAGCTGAACTGATAAAGACCATGCTACCCAGGGTGACTAACATTTTTTTTTTCAAAAATGCTTATTGAGCCGCTATAAAGAACTAGAAACTTTGATAGGCATTGAAGAACTAACCATTATCATGGTAGATGGGATTTATGCTACCATCAAAATTTCATTTTACTTGACAAAATATCTCTATCCTTTCATATTTGAAGAATGATAATGAAAACTATAGGTCTGAAAAGCAGTAAGGGGGTCCAGAACTCAGAGTCCAGAGGAAACCTAAAGAGTAAGGGTCCATGTA